TTTTTTTTTTAGGGGAAATCAAAAGATAACTTAAACATGTTAAATATAAAGTTGTTAAAAAGTCTTTTGTGACATGTTAGTTAGATATGAGAAATTATTAAGTAGGGTTTTTAAGTAATTTTCAATGTAGTTATTATTAATTTTTTTATAAATTAAAAAACTTAAATACATAATAATTACTTAAAATCGTGAATATATGATTATCTTGAACTATCTAATAATTTATAAACAAGACAGACTAAGTCACGAGCGATAAGCTATTCAAGTTGATATATATTATGAATTTTAATTATTTTTTTGTGTCCCGAGTGTCTAAAGATAGTTTTGTTGGAAAAGAATGATTGTATGATAAAGCGATGTGTATGTGTTGGTGTGAAATATAATAAGTTTTATAGGACATGCAGATAGGAGAGGAAGAAAGATGCATGTGAAGAGTAAGTGACCCGTCAAGCAAGTGCAAGATTGCCTCCAAGTTATGAGCGGAAGCAGCATCAGCATTAGGATTCAAAAACGGGGATTTCTTATGATCCAACTCTAACCCCACCCCAACATGCAGATAACACCAGGGCAACCCCTGCACGAGATTCACCACCCACCTTGGCAAACCCTCGTTCAAAAACATCCCCGGCGACCGCGGCACCATGTCATGACTGTTATGCACCCTCAGCACCTTCACCCCCAACTCCTCCAACCTCTCCTTAAACCTCAAGTTCCCCACCCTGGGCCCCGAAAACGAAAACACCGTCGACGTCCCCGCCTTCAACCCCCTTTCCGCAATATCAAAGGCGCTCAATATACCCATCGCACTCCCAAGGCTATGCCCCGTTATCGTAACACTAACCTCCTCCTGCGAATACTTGTCCAACAAACGCTTCACCTCGGCCAGAACCTGTTCCCTCGCTGAGTATTTGCAGTAGCCGCAGGTTGTCTCCTTGTCGGTGTACAACTCCAAGAAACCCGCCTCCACTTTCACGTCTCCCTCGCCCGAGATGGGCTTCAGGTAGTTCATGAGATCCGCCACCCACTCCACGTGGGTCACGGTGCCTCGCCACGCGATTGTTATGTCTCTTCGGCCCAATAGCTTTGTCATGGCGTCGTTGGAGACAGCGATGTAGCCGGCCCAGTTGGCGTGCTTGCTCCACATCTTGCTGGGCCAGCGCGACTTGCGGAACAAGTTTGGGAGGTTGATGTTGGCCGTCGCGTAGAGGAAGCGCGTGGGGG